GAATACGATCACGCCGTTTTTGGATTTGTATTACTGTGTGTACACAATCGATAGTATGGAATAGTATGAACCAGTGTGGTCGATATATATACTAAAATGGGTGATAGTCGAGGGTGTGGTCCACCAATCAAGGTTGAACTGTCGACCACCCCACTGCGCTGGTCCAAGACGGTCTGCCATGTGGATTTGTACCCATTAATGCGGTCTGGTTTGGTTTTGGTTGACGGCTTAGTGGAGCGTCAGTCCGAATAACCGACTATATAACCCGCGTGTGGATTCACTTATTGATCACACTTTTACTTTTCTCCTTATAACAAAACAAACAAAACCCAAACCCCTAAAACCTTGCCGAAGAAAAATCGATTTACCCCAACACCCCAAAGATAGCCCTAGATAGAACAACCTAACCTCTAACCCCAGTAACCTCCAACCCTAAAACAACAAAATGCTTTACCGCTATACCAACCCGATCTTTGCCGCTGCCGCCGCGTACCTGGCGATCCAGTCTCTGATGCCCTTTACCGCTGCTGCAGCGCCGACAATTCACCCCTACACCCGGGTGACCGATGACGTTCAACCCTCGGTTATTTACGAGCCGTTTGAGTTCCCCCTGACTCCCTTCGCCCCGGACACGAACACTATGGTGCTGAACATTGGTCTCGTGGCCCATACTTCGAACGCGACTGTTGCGGATTACATGGTGTTTAGCCTGGTCGAGTCCATCGCCCAATCTGACCCCGAAGCTGTAGTCTACGAGATTGCCGCTGCTGACGTAGACCCGATGGCCCGCGCTATACCCGTTGCCCCTGCCGCGACTGAGCCCCACGAGACGCGCTATCTCGAAGTCCGTATCGACCCGCGTATGTATGAGACCGTAGTCAATAATGTCAACAACATTTACATTGACGGTAACACGGTTGCCGGAGATCTAGTCATTGACACATCTATTGATGTCACGAACGGCGGCGGCAACACGGTCACTAACAATGGTGGTGGCAACACTGTTAACAATAACAACGGTGGTGACCCGGACACTCCGACTATGGTGGTAAAGGAGTGTCGCATCACTCATCCCGACGACACACTGAACCAGTACCTCGACATTGTCAACAACAAGGCTGTCATGGTCACTATGAAGCCGGACCGCTGGATGATTGAGTATGTTTCCGAGACCGAGTTTACTATGCGTCGCGGGGCAAAGTATCTGGTGGCTGAGGACACCACGGTCCCGGGTACGGATGGCGACAATATCCGACTCACCGTCAACACGAGCAAGACCGCCCCGAACAACAAGTGGATCATGAAGGAACAGGTCTTTATCCAGAGCGTGGCTAACGATTATATTGTGGTCAACTACTCCAGTGCCGATGTGGTTATGTTGATGGTTACCGGCAAATTTATCGAGTACGAGGACCAGAAGTGGCATTTTGTAGACTGCATCTAGAAAGCGCCGTCACAGATCGCTGTTGCCACGTACGGGAATTTGTATGCTGAATTTTAACGCTTAATACAATGGTTTCCCGCATAATAAATGATTTCCCAAAAAAACCCAGTGTTGGCTGTAAACGTTTAAGGCCCATTTTTAATACCCTAACCCCCCAAAAAAACCGGTGGTTTTACGGTGGAACACGAGTATGAGTGCCACAAAACCCCTAAACCCTAACCCTAAACCCCGAGTAACGGAGTCTGGGGTTAGGGTTTTGTATTGATGTTTGTTCAGTGACTCATCGGATGTGGCTGTTTGATGATCCCCCCCGTCACGTACCACCCGGAAATACGAAATTATGACCCACAGGGGCCGAAACATCTTTCATTTCGTATAAATAGAGTGCGTATTCTCACTTACAACACGTCAAAAGTACAAAAATCCCTTGAACGACTTACACGACGAGTATTAATCGAGATAGGAAAAAAGGGAGTTCTACTGCCCCTACGCTAATGTTATTCCCCGATTGTCTCCGATGCATTCTTAGTTATCTTGATCCCCCGAGTGCGTTGGAACTATGCGTAGCGTTTGGACGACCCGAAATGATGGATTGGTTTCTCAAAGACGGGGGTATTTACACCTATGACGGGACAGAACGCTTTCTGCCCCCTAGACATGTTAAATATTTGCGCCATACTGGCGTACCAAACATCAACGAATTGGTCACATACGCCACAATCCTGCACACACTTGACCTGGGTAGAGCCGACCCTAACCCGATTGGAACCGGGCTAACAAATGTCGACGCCCTAGCCGCGTGCACTAGCTTGCACACACTCTCCCTGGACGGTACCACGGTGACAAACGTCGACGCCCTAACTGCGTGCACTAACTTGCACACACTTAACCTGGGTAGAACCCGGGTTATAAATGTTGACACCCTAGCCGCGTGCCCTAGCTTGCACACACTCAACCTGCACTCGACCAGGGTGACAAACGTCGACGCCCTAGCCGCGTGCACTAGCTTGCACACACTCGTGCTGGACTATACCAAGGTAACGAACGTCGACGCCCTAGCCGCGTGCACTAGCTTGCACACACTCGTGCTGGACTATACCAAGGTAACGAACGTCGACGCCCTGGCTGCGTGCACTAGCTTGCACACCCTCAGTCTGGACTATACCCAGGTAAGGAACCTTAATGCCCTGGTCGCATGCACTAGCTTGCACACCCTCAGTCTGTGTGGTACCAAGGTGAAAACCCTGGTCGCGGGCACTAGCTTGCACACTGTCTACCTGGACTTTGCAAAGGTTAAATTCCAAGGTCCGCGATTTCTCTCAGCCTGTACCATTCATTCGGATCTCGATGAGCTCAACTTTTAGGTACTTGTAAAGTTCGCGGCCCCAACTCGGCCTCGAACCGGAGTTTTGATCGGTCTGCATTAAGACCGTATATGCTCCGTAAGTTCCGTTGGCTATATTGATCTAGCCAAGTATTGTTGGTCTACCTGCGCACATCGGATCCCCAACATTCCCGGGAAGCGTCTGGGGATGTTTAGGGGTTATATTGTCCATTCAATGAATAAAGATTATTTTCTCCGATTTGTTTGGTGTTGCAACGCAACTTGTGCAGAATCCAGGAACTTGGCTTGTTGGGTTTAGAGACAAAAAGGTGACTTTCGAGTTTAGCTTCAATCGCCGCCAACCGAGTGCTCATTGCGCGCAGAAATGAGCACACATCGGTTATTTTGACTTTTGACTGGAGTGCATATTTGAATTTTAGTGCAGATAAGAATTTGGGAACTTAATACTTTATTCAATCAAAGTTCACAACCGAATCCCATTGTATCTCTGATGCTGGTAGCTCAGCGCGACACAAGGGGCAGGTGTTTGCCCTGGTAAGCCACGCGCGGATACAAGTAGTGTGGAAAATGTGTCCACAGGGCATACTAGTTCCAGACGTGTCGGTATCGTCCTTGCACACCGTGCACGTAGAAACAAGAGCTGCACGGGGGAGTTTCTCCACTACAAGGGGGTCCGTCGACACGTCTGGAACTTCGTCGTGCCAGTCGGACATCTCATGCACCCCAACCATGATCGCAGAGAGTTTCAGCTCGTAAATCGTTGCTTCTACGCGATCCATACCCCGACCCCCAGCATTTCGACCATGATCCAGCATGAGGAGTAGAGTATCAAAATCATTTAATTGAAAGTGGGCCGAAAACTTGGATACGATGTCCGATAAGACAAATACCGTCATCGGAAAAGCAACTGCCCCAACGGCCAGTTCGGCTATACTGGTTGACATGAGACGTATAGTCTCCATGTCCGGTCCATCTTCTGTGGACAACGTCGCCTTCATCAACATGTCCATTAGCGTCCAGTTGCACAACCAGTTAGCTCTCTTGCGTAGCAACATAGAAAGTATATTCCATTTTCGTCCGAACATACAATGTTCGCGTATCATACCGAGTGTCATAGCGGCACCTATATCACCGCAAAAACACTCCTCGTGCCCGTGCAAGGTGTTGGGGTTTGCGTGTGCGTCGTGTCCAGACATGTGGCGAAAGAAACTTACAAAAAAAGATATGTAAAGTTGTGGACGAGACTGATTAAGGGAATGTCTTATATATACCTGTAAGTGAATACGGTGTCATAATTTCGTATTTCCGGGTGGTACGCGAAGGGGGTGATCATCAAACAGCCATATTTGATGATCACCAGTTGCCAAGTCCCTCTGGTGGGAGACGTTGGCGTACTCTTCCAGAAACGCGTCGTACCACCCGGAAATATTTACAGTGTGTGTATAAAAAGCGGGGGTAAAACGCAAATAGAATCACAATTCTCTGAATGAAAACATAGAAACATACTAAAAAAACAACAACAATATTTCATGATGATTTTTGCAAGACTAGCATTAGTGTTCGTTACGACGTTTGCCGCTGCCGTTGCCGTGCCCTTTGCTGTTCCCGTTCCTGTCATCCCGACCCACCGTCTTACCGTGGTAGACATCGCCGTGTCCACGCAGTTTGTTAACGAAACGCAGACCGAGGCCATTATCGCGGATCTGGCCTGTGTCTTACGCAATATATCATCGGGAAACATCAGCGTTCACACC